GGGACTACGTCAAAACATAGATCTATAACCAATTGATTTAAAACAAAAACAAGTAAAAAATCCATTCGCCTGATATTGGATTGATAAATATGAAAAAATTAGACCAATTGTGGTGAAGGTACCTGAAGTTGTGGACCAATGGATTCCATCGTCGGACTTGATCTAGGCTTGGTAAAGATAATAGGTTTTGCAAAGTTTGGTTCAAATCGGACATTCCATTAGCCTGATATTGGATTTATAAATATTGAAAATGTTGAACCTCTGTGGGGGAGGTACCTGAAGTTGTGGACCAATGGGTCCCATCTTCCTACTTGATCTAGGCTTGGTAAAGATAATGGGTTGTACAAAGTTTCGTTAAAATCGGATAGTCCCTTTGCATGTTATTAAAAAATTTATTTTTAGCACAATTTTGACCATTTTGTGGAAGAGGTAGCAGGAAAAAGTGGACCGACATTCCCCATCTTCCAACTAAAACTAATTTTGGAAGGAATGTTAAAATTTGTTAAGTTTGGATGAAATATATTATTCTTTTCTAGACTTATCGTGCATACCAACCAGCAAGGACAACGGACTGACATGTGTAAATCGACTCCAAATTTTCTGAAACGGTCTAAAACCAATATTTCGATAAGGCACACTTTGACCGTATCAAAGTGTATTATTACCCATAAGGCTAAGGGTACAACAAATGAAACATTTTAAAAAGACGGGGTTTGGTGGTAAATCGATCTGTTGGAATTTGGGTTCTCATTGAGTAGAAAATCGAATTTGTGCCTTATATAAATTATATAATAACGAAGTTAATCCATTTAGCCCTATAGAACTATTGTTGTTGACACATTTGAATATTAGAAATCCATTAAGTCGAAAGCCGTTAGATGTTTTGCCGGCAATTGTAATTTATTTATTAGTCACCGAATGAATGCTAGAAATTAGCCATTTCCGTTTGAAATAGAAAAAAAAAACTAAAAATAAACACGAGACCATTTGTCTGGTATTTTTTTCAATATCGATTAAAGCGAATATGGGCGGATGCATAATTTTTACAAATGCTGGAACAAGAATAGCACACAAAGTCACACACACCGAAACAAAATGACATAAATGAGATGTATAAACATTTGTTTTTATTGCTGTTGTAACATCAGTTGTGTGCCATTGAAAACAAATGTTAAGTGTTGTCGTTGTTATTTGTGTTATTGGAAAATGCTATTCAAAGATTTAAAACAAAATTTCGAAATGTTTTCGACCATGTTTTGCAACAATGTAACATGATGTAATTTTGACTAAATATTTAAATATTTTTTTATCAAAAAGAGTTTCGATATTTGTTTTACGGGCCCAAGTGGGAACGTTTAGATTTTGATATAAACTCTTTAGACCTTCTGACAAAATTTGGTATGTTTCTACATAATTGTACCAGTAGATTTTCGATTGTTGAATATATTTATGACCTAGCTAAATCTGAATGTATACATCTCTCTGAGTAACTAGACCAAATATCGCATGGAATTCCGCTGACAAATTTCCATATTTTTAAAATTTTGAGTTTCTTTTAAACGATCTATTAAAATATTTTTCATGACTATAAAAATATTTAAAAAAGTATTGTACCATCTGAGAACCATACAAATTAAAATAGAGCATCTTCAATTTGCTAACGCGATTATGTTTTCCAAGATTTCTTAAAGACTGCCATTTGTTGGCAACATAGGCTCGATTTTTTCCCAATATATATTTATATTCTAGGATCACCATAGAATTGAGGTTTAAAAAATTTATAGGAAAATATATATAGTTTTATAAAAAACAATGAGCGGAGCAGTATAGACGACACTGCACAACTTCCACGGAACTCTAACTTTCTGCGGATTTTTATTCTGCGCCTGGGCAATATTTCGTGATAGTTGCACCCTAATGCCCGATAAGAGGTCAACAGCACCTCTTCCTTACACTGACATATTTTCCGAATATTACTAATATTCCGTACAGTCCTTCTAATTACTTAATTACACATTTCCGATGTTCGGCTTGTAATTGTGGCATATATACCGACTCAAAAAAAAAGGAAGATTTCGGTCCATTTCATCCCAAAATTAGTATCCTATCATCGCCGAAAATTATAGGTGTTGTCCTTGATCATAACTCGAACCTCATGGAACATTTCAAAGCGATCAGCGCTATATTTTCGTCCTCCAGTGTGGTAAAAAACCATTCAAATATTTACGTGTAACTCCCACATCCGAGTGCATACGTCAATATAATTTAAAGGCCAACCACACCTCTAGGATATACTATCAACTTCTTGGGTCTATGTCCTTCAGGAGTAAAAATATTCGCTACAGAATACAAATTTTGTAATTTTTCACACAAAGGTCATGGTCCATTTGACTCGTCAAATATTTACTGACTGATCGTTATCAAATCAGGCATGCTATGCTTGTTCTTTGGCCCGATCTCCTATCGCAATGTTTGGGCCATAATTGTGGCGTCTGGAGAGACCAGAGACTAAAAACTACAAAAAGTAATTATTGGGTCCATTTCATCCCCATAATATTAACCGATATTTACCAAAAACAATAGGGATCTTCATTGGACAGAACCCATTCTACATGCAAAATTTCGTGAAGATTGGTCCATAACTGTGGCCTGTATCGTGTTTACTAATTATGATGAACAGACAGACAGATCGACTCAACTAGTCGAGATATGACATTCGGTATACTTGAAGGTGAGTCTAGGACCAATATTTCGCAGCGTTACAAACTCTTGGGGCTGCACAAATAATACTATAGCAATAATACCCTGACAACATAGTTGTGTGGGATATACACATTAACGTGTACTCCTAAAAAATTTCTGGGAAACAATATTTGGGTAATTTTTATACCCTACTTTTTTTAAGTATACCGATCGTCATATCTCGACTAGCTGAGTCGATCTAGACATGTGTGTCCGTCCGTCCCTCCGTCTGTCCATTATATTTTGTAAACACGATACAGGCCACAGATATGGACCAATCCTCACGATATTGTACATGTAGGACCGGTTCTGGCCAATAAAGACCCCTATTGTTTTTTGTAAAGTTAGCTTAATATTTAGGGGTTGAAATGGACCAAATACTTAATTTTTGTCGGTTTTTCTAGTCGCTCTAGAGGCCGCAATTATGGCCCAAACTTCGCGAATTTTTACATGGAGAAGGGGATCGCGCCAAAGATTAACCATGCCTGTTTTGATAAAGGTCGGTCAATATTTAGCGGGTCAAATGGACCCACTCTTGTGTGTGAAAAATGACAAAATTTTTATTCTATAGCGTATATATTTTCCCCTGAAGGATATAGAAGCAAGAAGTTGATTGTATATCCAAGAGGAGTGCTTGACATTTAAATTGATACCAATTACATTGTCGTCTGTACTCGGATGTGGGAGTTACACTTAAATATTTAGAGAGGCTTACGTATTCAGGTACTATTTAGTAACCCATTACCACACTAGAGGGCGAAAATATAGCGCGGATCGTTTTGAAAATCTCTATGAGGATCCAGATATGGTCAAGGACAAAGCCTATATTTTTCGCTGATGATCAGATAATAATATTGGGATAAAGTGGACCGAAAACTTTTTTTGTGGTTTTTCGAGTCGATCTAAAAGGTCGCCGAACATTACAACACAACCCACGGTGAAGGAAATGTGGACAAGTAATTAGAAGGCCTGTACTGAATATTATTAATAATAATATTTGTTGACTTCTAGTCGGCCAAGAGGGTGCAAATATCGCGAAGTATTGCCCAGGCTCAGAAAGTAGTACCACAGAAAGATAGATGCTCGTGGAAGTTGTGTAAGGTATCATATGGTCGGCCACGTCCGACTATACTGCTCTGCTCACTGGTTTTTTAATATTTCTTCTAGGACCATAATGAGCATAAATATAAAAAACCCAGGATCAGCAAGGATGGAATTAAAAAAAATCCTGGCAAAATAAATGTTTTCGTTGTGTTCAGCCGGACCTAGTAAGAGGATATTAAAATATCTAGAACCGTTCCACATCATGAAATAGAGGCCTTATCATGGCAAATGGCGACAAGGAGAAAACAAAATATCAAACTACAGACACTCAGGTTTTAAATTGAGCTAAGATCCTGAATAGGACCATAATGAGCATAAATATAAAAAACCCAGGATCAGCAAGGATGTAATTAAAAAAAAATCCTGACCAAAAAAAGTGTTCGTCGTGTTCAGCCGGACCGAATATGTGGATATTAAAATACCTAAAACCGTTCCATATTAGGAAATAGGGGCCATATCATGAAAAATTGCGACCAGGAGAAAAGAAAATATCAAACTACAGACACTCAGGTTTTAAATTGAGCTGAGATCCTGAACATATCGATAATGAAGCATTACGGTTGCATGAAGGCTATGTTGACTTATATTGTAAATATTCTGTGAAGAAATTGTTTATCCACCAAAGTCCTGGAAAGAAAACGTACAACGTTTTTGTAAAGCTAAATTATATAGTCACATCAAAATACCTATAAAGAGGGTGGACATTTATACGGTACCTATACCCAAAAGTTCCACCAATATTTATAATTTTTGGTAGGAAGATATATAGAATTTGGTGCTCTAAATTCAAACAATATGTGTGGTACCGAAATATGCGGTAAAATTGATAAGTTGTAGTAAAGACATTTTTTTTACACGATGGAATGTGGCCCAAGTCCCCAAAAACCGATATTTGTAACTGTTATATGAAAAAGATTCCAATATTGAAAATTTTTGCTAGGAACATTTGCTACCCAATGACCAATATGTGCAATTTTGCATGCCAATATTTCCATTCTAAATCGAATTTATTGATTGCGAGTCAACAGCCCTGTATATATATATATGTATATATATATTATCTGCAACTTCTGTCCTGCATAATATTACCCCATAACCTCTATAATTTTTTGTTTTATCAATTATCTCTTTTCAGTCAAACATATACAACCACCATGCATTTAAAAACAAATATTCACCTGCTACTTGCCTGTACATTCGTAACACTTGGTGTCCGCGCAGCAACAACAAATAATCCCAAGTGTCCCTACGAAGACACTGTCGATCTGACGAATAGCAAACGATTTTACAATGGTTCCTATTTATATGAAAATATACTTATACCTCCCGATCGAATCGCCACCTACGATTATGAAGAAATTTTCCAAGGTATTCGTTTGCCAAGAAAATCACATCTCCGTGGTTGTGTGTGTCACGAACGAAGTTGTGTACGATTTTGTTGTCATCCGACCAGAGAACTTATTGCCAATTACAGTCGTACATGTTCCAGTGAAATGTTGGTGCAGGAATTGGAATATGATTCCTATATTAATGTAACGCTTAATAATGGTTCGGTGGTAAAGAGGCATGTGCTCGAAGAATTCACAGTGCTGCAGGGGGTGCCATGTGTGGGGGCCTATGCTTTAGTACCGCAAGACGATGAAGAAGATAGTTGGGAAATTTTTGAAAATGGTACCCTACTACGACACTATGATATGGTCCAACTGTCGCGACGGGATTATTGCCTAATGCCAATGGAATTGGAAAGTGGTGAATGGGTATTGAATCCCATGAATTGTCCAATATTGAAAGCCGCTTCACTCTCCCTGCAGATCAATAATATTGGTAAATTAAATTAAATAAAATAAAAAATATTAGGAAATATTTTTGATAATTAAATTTCTTTCCAGCCATGGCCATATCGGTGCCATTTATCATTCTAACAATTATGGTCTATGCCTATATACCGGAGCTACTTAATCTCCATGGTAAATGCCTGATTTCATATCTCTCGCCATTGGCCATGGGTTATTCGATTTTAAGTACAATTTCCTTGTCCGAAGTGGTGTTTCCCAATCTGGTATGCAGTTGCCTGGGTATGTTGCTGCATTTTATTCCAAAATAGTTTTCATAATTTATGATTGTTTTCGCATTTTTATGTTTGTGAACACCGCTTGCAGGTTATGTTGCTTACTACTGTTTCATGAGCGCCTTCTTTTGGCTCAGCGTCATTAGTTTCGATTTATGGCAAAATTTCCGCCTAACCGGTTCCATGCGATTTGGTCAACGCAAACGTTTCTGTTTGTATTCCATTTATGCCTGGGGCATTCCGGCATGTTTGACACTTGCGGTTATAGCCTTGCAGAATTCCAACATGGATGATTTGTATAAACCGGGTATTGGAGATGATTATTGCTGGTTGAAAAGTAAGTAAATACGATATGTTAACATTGAAGTAACTGAAAACAATTAACAGGGAAAAACGTAGTTGAATTCGAATTTATTTACCCTTACCATGAGGCGCACATTCAAATTACCGGTGGACATTTCGAGGTGTTTCAAACGGATCACAATTTTAATATACACTCCACCATATTGTGAAGGGTATACAAAACGTTTTGTTTGACAAAAGGGTCGTTTTAATGCTCTCCCCATAAGAAACAGCATTAAATTTGACCGGACCGTAATTTTTATACAGACAATTTTGTTGGAAAATAAGGCTCTATTTTAGGAGATCTGTTATCCTCAGATAATTTGAAATTCCAAATTACCATTACCAGTACGTAAAATCGATCGGGAAACTTATATGGATCCCATGTAAAAAATACCAAGGATCTGCATACTGAAAATGAAACGGAACCTTTATATATGTGGAAACATGGACTTGCGAATACTCGAAAAGAGTTATTATAGAGATATCGGGGTGGAACATTTTTATGTGGCATATATAAATACATGGACGTATATTGGGCATTTTTTGCGTTGGACATTTTTTGCTACCAAAAACATTTAGCCACGGTTGAAAAATGGGACCAACAATGTAAAAATACCAAAATGGTTCGTGGGACCTAAAAATCGATGCCTGTTAGCTAGCGTGCACAAAAAAGGAGACTAGACCATATGTGCCAACTATAGAGGAATAAGTCTCCTTCCCATCGCATATAAAGTGCTATCCAGTTTGCTGTGTGTCCGATTGAAGCCAATGGTCAATGACATCATCGGACCATACCAATGCCGCTTCAGACCTGGCAAATACACCATTGACCAAATTTTCACCCTGCGCCAAATCCTGGAAAAGACCCACGAAAAACACATCGACACTTACCACCAATTTATCGACTATGAAGCCGCTTTCGACAGCCCTATCCGTTCAGAGGTGTTTAAAGCCATGTCTGCGTTCGGCATTCCTGCAAAATTAATACGGCTATGCAGGATAACTTTAAGTGGCACAAGGTCAGCAGTTAAAGTAGGAAAGGACCTATCGGAGCCCTTCAACACCGAACGAGGATTCAGACAAGGTGACAGTTTGTCGTGTGATCTTTTTAACATCCTACTGGAAAAGGTCATACGAGACGCAAAGGTGAACAGAAATAGCACTCTGTACACCAAACAACACATGTTACTCGCCTACGCCGATGACATTGATATAATGGGTCGAACATTGGTAACAGCCACCTTTGAACATATTGAAAAGGAATCTGCCAAAGTGGGTCTGGCAGTAAACGGTGAGAAGACCAAGCAGATGGTATCAACACGCAAGACGTCCAGTAGACTCGGACCAACTGTGGAACTTGAGAACTACAGCTTCGAGGTAGTTAAAGATTTTATATACCTTGGTACCGCCATAAATAAAAGGAACGACATCAGTTTTGAAATTCGTAGAAGGATTGTGATGGCCAACAGATGCTACTATGGTCTAAGTAAGCAGTTTAGAAACAAGGCCACCTCCCGCCAGACCAAACTCGCACTTTACAAGACGCTGATACTACCCGTGCTATTATATGGATCAGAAGCATGGGTACTTGCGCAAGCAGATGAGGCAGCTCTTGGTGTGTTTGAAAGAAAAATTCTCAGTCGTATTGAGCTGCAGCGACTACGGTGGCTAGGCCATGTTGTGCGGATGAATGAAAATGCCCCACCTCAAAAGGCATATAAAAATGAGCCTACTGATGGTTCCCGTAGAAGGGGAAGGCCACGAATTAGATGGAAAGACCAAGTAGAAAACAACATCTTGGAACGTGGTCTTCCAAATTGGTGGACTTGCGCACAAAACCGACGCGCTTGGAAATCTTTTTTAAGCTCGGCTTATGGAACAACCGTTCTGTAACAAGCCAGCTAAGTAAGTAAGTTAGCTAGCGGCCTACTGTTGGTCTGGTGATGGTCAGAAATTTTATTGAAAACCCCACTCTTTGGCTCTGGTGATGAGTAGGGGTAGATATTTTTATCCATCATAGTTGAACAAATCTACAGCCTTCGGTTTGGTGAAAGTTGAAACAAACCAAAGTCAACACCTAGGGCTCTGGTGATCTCTGCAATTTGGAAAAAAATAAATAATTGTTCTTGTCCAAAATTTAAAAAAATAACGTAGCTGTCACATAAAGGCCCAGACCCGTTTTAAGTATTTTGAAGCATTTTTTTTTAACAAAGTGGCAATAATAATACTACTTCTTCTAATTTGTCATTTCAGGTTTTCATAAGACAATAGATCTCTCCGCATGTTTTATACAAAATTCCCTATAGAGGTTCTGAAAAATTTTAGGTATTTTAAGGATCCTAACCATTAATTCAACCAAAATGACCCTATCTTAATATTTCGGGACCTCAAATGATAATAGACTTTGTCACAGAGAAATGTTACAAAGAATATTTTTTTATAAATTCCATTAGTCATATTAAGGCTTCTCCAAGGTCTTTGAGTCATTTTTTAACAAAAGCAGATTTTATTTGTAATTTCGGGTTCTTCAAGGATAAATCCAACCCAACCACTTACTGGTCCATATTTTGTCTGTAAATGTCTGACGTATTTTCCAACTTTAGTAGCTATTTTTATAATTCCGACTTTTCAGAATGATCTGTATTCGAAGGTCCCAGCAGCATTTTCCAAACGGAGTGCCTCTAACTTGACATTTCTGTTCTGAGGGTACCACAAATGTAGAATATTGTAGGGATAGCCCCTACAATATTCTACATTTTTTGTATATTGGGCAATTTTTGTTTGAATTTTTCGTGGTAGTCATTATAGGTCCATGTTTCCACATAGAACCCACACAAAGTTCAGGCGTAATTTTTGACTTGTCAAATTTGTCTACTGAGTGTCTGTAGTTATACCCTACATAACTATGTTGCCAGGGTATTATAGCTTTGTGCAGCCCCATGAGTTTGTAACGCCGTGAAATATTAGAGCCACCTTAAAAAAATTATCGATCATCATATCTCGACTACCTGAGACGATCTGGAAATGTGTGTACGTCCGTCCGTCTGTCCATTATAATTTGTAAACACAGTTATGGACCAATATTCACGAATTTTTGCATGTAGGACGTGTTCTAGCCAATGAAGACCCCTATTGTTTTTAGTAAAGATCGGTTAATATTTAGGTGGTGATATGGACCAAATACCTAATTTTTGTCGCTTTTTCTGGTTGCTCCAGATACCGCAATTATGGACCGAACATCGCGAATTTTTACATGGAGAAGGGGATCGGGCCAAAGAATAAGCATGCCTGTTTTAATAAAGATCGGCCATTATTTAGCGGGTCAAATAGATGACTTTTATGTGAAAAATTACAAAATTTGTATTCTATGGCGTATGTATCGGCTCCTGAAGGAAATATACCCTAGAAGTTGAGAGTATATCTAAGAGGAGTGAACGGCCTTTAAATTTATACCAAATATATTGCCGTATGTAATCAGATGTGAGAGTTAACCTTAAATATTTATAGGTGCTTACGAATTCAGATATTATATAGTAACCCATTATCACACTAGAAGGCGGAAATATAGCGCTGATCGCTTTAAAATTTTCCAAGAGGTGCCTGTTATGGTCAAGGACATCGCCTATAATTTTCAGTGATGATCATATAAAAAAATTGGAATGAAGTGGATCGAAAACATAATTTTTTGTGATTTTTTCCGAGTCGATTTATAAGCCACAAGCCGAACATCACACACAACTCAAGGTAAAGAGAATAATTATCCATCGCTACAACAAAAATCTGCTTCGAAAAGGACTGTTCCTAGAATGAAGACAAATGTCGAACTTTGACAAATTTGAATTTAATTCGCATATGCAAGTTTCGCATCAGGGCGGAATAAATACAAGTTATCAACGTACGACCTTTGTAAAGCCACATAGCCCGATATGCCTGATGAGCCGCATAACCAACGGCGAAAGGCGTCGCATAATGGTGGGCTATGTAGGTTCTTCTCCCGGCATTCCTTTTCATTGCAAAACATAGATCATCACTCGAAAGAGTATAAATAATCACTTAAAATTACTTTCAAATGATCACTGCCCTTACAAGGCAAAATTCAAATAACAAAAGAGAATCTGGATAAGTAATTAGCAGGGCTGTACTGAATATTGGGAATATTCGGAAAATATGTCAGTGTAAGGAAGAGGTGCTGTTGGTCAAAAGATATAATCGTTTAAAAGAGTACAAATATCACGAAATATAGCCCAGGCTCGAAATAAACATCCGCAGAATGATGGAGTTCCGTGGTAGTTGTGTCGACCATACGATACCCTGTATGGTCGGCCCCGTCCGACTATACTGCTCCGCTCACTAGTTTTATATTACGTTTTTTTTTCTCGGCAGCAATTTACCAAATCATAGTCCCCTTATAAAAGTCTAGATCAATTTTTGAGGAAAGAAATAAGAAAATCGGCCCGGCAGAACCTAACGTTTTTACTTGTTTAACATAGTTCCTCATTGGGTGTAATTTGGTACCAGTATTTTATAATACCTCCAATGGAATCGGACTGTTCGAATTTTTTTTTTTTTTTTGTCCACAACGTCCTTTCCTGTTTTCTTCAATTTTAAATTGTATTGTTTTTGCTCATTCCAGCAAATGATTGGTCGGCCATGATCTATTTCTTTGGAATCAATTTGGTAATTGTACTCATCGACATAATCTTTTTCTCCATGACCTATTACAAAATCACGGTGATGCAAAGGGATATTAATAAAATCATAAGGAATGACACGAATGAGGGACGACATCAGCTGAGGACGCACAAGAATAAGTAACTACTCAATATTAATAATATCAATTTTGAACTTTCTATAATTATTTTTTTTTTCATCCCCAGCTTTGGACTCTTTTTACGTTTATTCCTGATTATGGGCGTCTCTTGGCTGCTGGACATTGTTTCCTATATCGAAACTCTACTCTATCCCGATGACATTAATCCATTGTATTATGTTTCGGATTTTATGAATGCCATATTGGGTCTGTTGATATTTGTGTGTTTCGTTTTGAAACCCAAGGTCTTGTCGCTAATCAAAAAGAGGTAAGTTTCGTTTTGAGTATCATTTGAAATTTGATGCTTTTTATTGCAGCCGCGTGTTTTTTCCTTTTATTTATTTATTCATTTTTTTTTCTGTTTGTTTTCCACACCAAAAACAATGTTTATATGACTTTTTATATTGTTGCTTTTTTCCATAAATTTATATCCACAAAAAAAAAATTATATTTTATTTGCATTCGCATAAAAAAAAAAACAAAAACAAATAAAAAGATTATTTGGTAAGCAAGATGAAACTGACAACACCACCCATTCTGACTGCGAGGAAGAGGAAATCTCTTTGAATGGTATTGGCTCAGGTACAGAATTTGTTAATTATTTTCGAAATTTTGCTTTCTTTGCCTTTATTTTCTGTTTTGCCATTTTGCATGTAAATAATAGTTAAAATTGGTTATGTGTTTGTGTGTGTGAGTTTTTGTTTTGTTTTGTTGCTTCTGTTTTGTGGGTGTCGGTGTCAGTGACACTGTCAGAAGTTAATTGAACTTTAGCTGGTGTTATGGTTACGTAATCCACAATTGTTTTATATAAATTTTAATTATTTTCTTTTAAGTTTATGGTGAATGCAATTTTATGTTCAAAACTAATTATTTTATTTATTTTGATTTAATAATACGTTACTAATTGAATTAAAACATGTGAAATTGTTGTTAAGTTCGGCCAGGTCGAACAGTTTATATCCTCCACATTGAAAATACTAAAAATCGGTCGAGTTCGTTTTATGTGGAAAATTACAACTTCGGCTAACATCTTCAACGTACCGAAAAGGGCAGGAAAGGGTACGTTACATATTTTTGATCAGACTACATTTGTATATCGATTTAATTTGGCATTCCGAGCTATTGGTATATAAACAACTTGCTCGCATAATATTTTCAACAAAGGTCCATGTTTGGATATTACCTATGTAACGGACCTTTGTTGAAAATGTTATGCGAGCAAGTTGTTTATCTACCAATAGCTCGGAATGCCAAATAAAATCGATACAAAATTGTAGTCTGATCAAAAATATCTAACGTACCCATCCTCAGGCGAATATTTCAAGATGTTGAAAATTCAATATACTCCTCATTATGATGGAGGGTATGCAGACTGACATAAAATAAAATAAGTATTACACTGTGGGACAAAAAATATACATATTAAAATAAAATCATAACAACAATAACAAAATAATTTATAGCCTTCGATCGAATTCGACAGTGCTTTTACCGAGCGCCACCTGTTTTTGCACTAATTTTTGAAAATCAACGTCTATAGCCGTGACAATACCAAAAAAATTTAAAAAAAATCCAAGCGTGGGGGGGGTCTGATTATCCCCGAAAAAATATACCTAAAAATTGTCGCATAAAGCTCTGATATTCCCCGAAAAATTATTCTTAAAAATCCATTGGCTATATCTCCGATCACTAAAAAAAAATATTCTTAAACCAGTGAGCAGTATAGTCGGACGGGGTCGACCATACGATACCCTACACAACTACCACAGAACTCTTACTTTCTGCGCATGTGTATTTCGTGATATTTGCACCCTTTTGACCGATAAGAGTCAACAGCACCTCTTCCTTACACTGACATATTTTCCGAATTTTACTAATATCCGGTAAAGCCCTTCTAATTACTTGTCCATACTCCCTCCATCGTGGGTACTGTTGTGATGTTCGGCTTATAATTGTGGCCTATATATCGACTTAAAAAAATACAAAAAATTTAAGTTTTCGGTCCACTTCATCCAAAAATTATTATTTGATCATCACCGAAAATTATAGGCGTTGTCCTTGACCATACATGGATCCTCATGGAAAATATCAAAGCGATCAGAGCTATATTTCCGCCCTCTAGTGTGGTAATGGGTTACTAAATAATATCTGAATACGTAAGCACCTGCAAATATTTAAGTGTAACTCCCACATCCGCGTACCTATGACAATGTAATTGGTATCTATTTAAAGGTCAACCACTCCTCTTGGATATACAATCACCTTCTCGGGTCTATGTCCTTCGGGAGTAAATATATTCGCCATAGAATACAAATTTTGTAATTTTTTACACAAAAGTCAGGGTCCATTTGACCCGTTAAATATTGGCCGATCTTTATCACAACAGGCATGCTCATTCTTTGGCCCGATCCCCTACTCCATGTAAAATTTCACGATGTTCGGGCCATAATTGCGGCCTCTGGAGCGACCAGATAAACCGACAAAAAATTAGTATTTGGTCCATTTCATTCCCAAAATATTAACCGATCTTTACCAAAAACAATAGGGGTCTTTATTGGCCAGAACCCATCCTACATGCAAAATTTCGTGAAGCTTGATCCATAACTGTAGCCTCTATCGTGTTTACAAATTATAATGGACAGACGGACGGACACACATGTCTAGATCGACTCAGCTAGTCGAGATATGACAATCGGTATACTTGAAGGTGAGTCTAGGACCAATATTTCGCGGCGTTACAAACTCTTGGGGCTGCACAAAGCTATAATACCCTGACAACATAGTTGTGTAGGGTATAAAAATTGTCGCATAAAGCTCTGATATTCCCCGAAAAAATATTCTTAAAAATACATTGGCTATATCTCCGAGCACTTCTAAAAAATATTCTTAAAAAATCAGACATTCCCTGAAGGAATGTTCATAAAAATTCACAATTTTGCTATAATTCTTCATGCTATAATTCTCGAAAAAATCCAAGTCTATAGCTCATTATTAAAAAACTTAAAAAAAAACAGTAAGGTAGTTAAGTCGGACTGGGCCGACTATATGATACCCTTCACCACTTTGGGTATATTCTACAAAGTAACCTTAAAGCCTTTTCGGAAGAACATTGACATGAAGTTGAACGAAAAAACTTTGGTGCACTATTTACCTTAAATCGGACAAGAATATATATGGGAGCTATATCTAAATCTGAACCGCTTCTCACGAAACCTAGCACACATCATTAAAGACACCATGTAGTACACTGTGCCAAATTTCGTGCAAATCGAATGATATTTAGGTACTTTGGCGCCCCATTTACCTTAAATCGGACGAAAATATATATGGGAGCTATATCTAAATCTGACCGATTTTCACCAAACTTCGTACACATCATTATAGATTCAATTTAGTGCGCTATGCCAAATTTGGTGCAAATCGAAAGATGTTTAGGGACTTTGGTGCACCATTTACCTTAAATCGGGCGAAAAAATATATGGGAGCTATATCTAAATCTGACCCGATTTTCACGAAACTTCGTACACATCATTATACCTCAATTTAGAGCGCAATGCCAAATTTCGTGCAAATCGAAAGATCTTTAGGGACTTTGGTGCACCATTTGCCTTAAATCGGACGAAACTATATATGGGAGCTATATCTAAATCTAAACCGATTTTCTTGAATTTCAATAGGGTTCGTCCTTGGGCCAAATAAAAGACTTGTGCCAAATTTCATCCTGTACTTTGTTTACAATTTAACATCAACAGACGGACGGACATGCATAAATCGACACAGAAAGTGATTCAATGCATATTCTCAAAAGGAACCATTTGTCTATTTCGATTCCTTTTGCCTGTTACAACCATATGCACAAAGACATAATACCCTGTACCACAGTGTGGTGAAGGGTATAAATACTCCCCTATAGATCGCATAATTCCTAAGAAAAATAAATTAAAATTCCACACCTATTACTGTGGAAAATTGTTACGCCTATAGCTGTGATAACTCTTGAAAAAGTAAAATACGCACGCCTATGCTCTAATAACTCTTTGGAAAAAATTTATAAAATATCCATACCTATGACTGCGTAAATCCTTGGAACTATATTCTTAAAGCATCCACGTTTATAGCTTCAAAATAAACACATACTTGTTTTGAGAACTGTATTTTTCAAACATATAAAATTATTTTCTTTTTTTTTGGATTATTTTTATTTAAATCGATAAACTTTAGTTATAAGTTTTTGGACCAAAATCCTATATGGCCTAACATAATTTTCAACTAACAAACACAAGGTACTTTTGAACTGGCATGAAACAATCTTATATGTATGTTTTTGTTAGCACTTTTGGAGAAAGAGCAAGCTAAAAAAGAAATAACCACTAATTACAAGTAAACAAAATTAAAAAACTAATTTTCGTAATTATTTTTTTGTTACAGATGTCAGCAAAGAAAGGAAGGAGCTCAACTGAGACCAATGGTAAAAAGAACTGCAACATCCCAACTCAGCCTATCGAAAATTCAAATGAGTCCAATACCAACACGCTAACCCGGAATTTATGTATACTTAAAATATTAGTAGTTTTATTTATGGAAATTTGAATAATTTCAAAATTGTTAGTTTTTTAATGTCATTAGAATTTAAGAAAAAAAAACACTCTCCCAAAAGTATTATGACAGCTGTATATGTCTTTGTATGTACATATAAATGTATGTATTGTTGTAGCAAAAACTGCATTTTATATATTTAATTTATTTTTGTAATATAGTTTTGTAATATTATTTCAATAAAAAAAATATTTTTGTATAAAATTATTTTTACGACATTTGATATGTGGCAGATAATAGAAAAAAGAAATACTCTTAAAAAAATCCACACATATATGCTTACAAAATACACGACAATAGCTCCGAATTTTCTCGCAAAATATAAGTGTGATAATCCTTAGCAATATTTTTAAAAAATCCCCACCTAATCACAGACAAACCTATGAAAAATCCAAGCCTACTGTTAGGGAAATTAAAAAAAAAAAACAGTAAGGAAAGTAGTAAAGTCGGACTGGGCCGACTATATGATACCCTTCACCACTTTGGGTATATGTACACATGTATCCTAACAATTGCATGTCTATGTTCCCTCTTTCTCCAACCTATCCTAACTTTAATTTCATTCGAGCAGATTTAGAGCCGTCTGCGTAACATGGGGAAATTTTATGGAAAACGATTTATAGCAAAATTGATACACGCTATTCGGTACGCCGCGTTATTAAAAATATAATCTATATGTGGGAGCTATATCTAAATCTCAACCGATTTTCACCAAAATTAACACACATCTCTCTAGACTCTGGACATATATAGGGAACTTGGTGCACCATTTACATAAAATCGGACGAAAATATATATGGAGGATATGTCGAAATCGAAACCGATTTTCCCAAAACTCACCACTCATCATTCTAGACTCAATTCAGTACGCTATGCCAAATTTCGTGCAAATCGAAGCTTATAAAGGGACTTTGGTGCACTACTCACCTAAAATCGGACGAAAATATATATGAGAGCTATATCTAAATCTCAACCGATTTTCACAAAATTTAACACACATCGTTCTAGACTTAATTCAGTATGCTATGCCAAATTTCGTGCAAATCGAAGTATATATAGAGACTTTGGTACACCATTTACCATACGTCGGACGAAAATATATATGGGAGCTATATCCAAATCTGAACCGATTTTCAGGAAACTTGACACACATCATTCTAGACCTAATTCATTACGCTGTGCAAAATTTCGTACAAATCGAAAGATATATAGGGATTTGGTACACCATTTACCTTAAATCGGACGAAAATATATATGGGAGCTATATCCAAATCTGAACCGATTTTTCCCAATTTCAATAGGGTTCGTCCTCGAGCCAAATAAGTGGCCTATGCCAAATTTCATCCAATTCGCATTATAAATGCGACCTGTACATTGTTTACAATTTAACATCGACAGACAGGCGGACGAACGGACATGCATAAATGGACTCAGAAAGTGATTCCATGTGTCTATCTCGTTTCCTTTTGCCTGTTATAAACATATGCACAAAGACATAATACCCTGTACCACAGAGTGGTGAAGGGTATAAACATTTTATCGGGGCGATTCTTTAAAAAATTTAAATAATTAAATCAACGACTATTGTCTGGGCAATTTTCTGATAAAAATCAAAGTCTATCTAGACGATCCTCTGAAAAAATATTCTTTAAAATCCACCCCTACTGTTAGGGCAATTCTTTTTAAAAAAGTTTCTGAAAAATCCAGGGTGGTCCTCTAAAAAAAATAATAAAGCCTATTTTCAGGGCGGTTCTCCGAAAAATATATTCCTTAAAAATTCAGGCCTATTGTCAGTGCAAATCTCTGAACAAATATTCTTTAAAAATACCCACCTATTGGCAGGGAAATTCTCTGAAAAAGTTCAAGCATATTATCAGTGCGATCTTTTGAAAAAAGGCCTATTGTCAAGGCAATTCTCTGAAAAAGTCAAAGTCTATTATCGGGACAATCATCTGAAAAATATTCTTTAAAATCCACTCCTACTGTCAGGGTAATTCTGAAAATCTGAAATATATTCTTTAAAATCCACTAATACTGTCAGGGTAATTCTCTGAAAAAAAATCCAAGCCTATTTTCTGAAAAAAAATCCACGCCTATTGTCAGGGAAATTATTTGAAACGTATATAAACATATAATAAGATGCTTAAGATTTCTGACATTTAGACCGATTTTTAAGTTTTAGTCTATTCTGAGACTTATAGTAAAATATTATGACGAACATTTCTCTAGAATATTCTGAGCCGCTTTAACCCCGTTTTGAATGAGTTTTCAATAATTTTTGGAAAAGGGGACCGAAAAGACCCCTTCAATGAGTCGGTTGAGGGTTAAAGTTGTATACCAAAATATTCCTCGATATTTTATCAGTAATATTGTCGAAGACATTATATACCAGAAATGTAAGGATTTCAAGAAATCATAATTCGAAAATTATCAAAATTCTTGAAAAGGGGGAATGTTGCCCCCTGTTCTTAGGTTACCTCTCGACGTAAATATTCAAAACGCCGCACAGTGGGTTAGAGTACCATGTTTTCTTGGATCAAATCAGGGAAGCCATGTTAGAATATTTTTTCTTTATTTTTCAGTTAATACCATTTAAATAAGTTAAAAAAAATGTTTTCTAAGTATATTTGAGTATAATTTTATTAAGTAGTGCCAAATATCAGTGTAGGTATATAGTGCAAGGAGTACAATATGATAACTTAAACATTGAATTTTATACATCTTAAAGTTAATCATCCACATCGTCATCATCCGCAGCCGGGGATGGTCCGTATGACGAATTTTCAGGTTTTCGACTGTCAAAAAGGTGTAAACGTCGAAAACGACACATACGTGTATAAAATGTAGTAAACGTCATTTATTTCAATATTATCACCATATACAGTCATTTTCAAGAACATATATTATTTTTACTGTATATCTGGCTATTCTTTACTAGAACTGATAAAAAATTCCGAATTTTTTTAAGAAAAAAAATTTGATATTCGATATGAATTTGAGTAAAGCATACGTTATTTCCAACTCGATAAATGTTAATAGCCATTTTATAAAAAACATAATGGTTTTGAGTGGGTGTATGTCATTTACGTCACTGTTTCTCACAGGCCACCTCTGTCCGCAGCATCACCAACTTCTGATAATTGCTCAATATGTAAAAGGGCATTTGACACAATTTCGGGTCCGTGAATAAAAAACTTGTGCAAAGTGGTAGGCATATTATACAAAGGATACGTTTCAACAAAAAGTCGTCCTGTATTGTGTGCATATATTTGAAATTTTTCATTATTAATCTCATGGCCACTGGATACAGCTATAAAAGACACGTGCATTTTTATTAAATTAACATATATTTTTGTTATTTCGGCAGATTTTTCTAGCGTTTTGGTGCGTTTTTTTTGATTTCTTTAGCTAAAAATGTCATCTTGTCATTCATTGTTTGAGCGCTCGAATTCATCATAAGCTTCGACGATTATAAACAACAACGTTCGAACTTGTACCTATAAAAAATGCTAATAAAGAACGCTTTTACCCGACTACTTGAAACTGCACAACACAATCACTATTTGTTAAAACAATGAATATTATTAAAATAAACAAAAACAAAATATTATTGTAACAAAGAATATCATTAAAAGAAACAAAAATAACAACAATAAAATAATTAGAAAAAATAACATGAAAAACAAGAAAACACAACACTCAACAACAGCACCAGCCACGAGATCAATGTGACTTTTAGCTAATTTGACTGCTACAACACTTGTATTAAACAACGCATAGCTTCTAAAAGGCACAAAAGGGCAGCGTAAAATTTTGCAATATAACACAGATTTATGTCCTCTTTAATATAAACCAAAAATTATGACACGAATGTGGACGAATAATAACTATTTATCCATTTAAAATATAAAAATATTATTTTTTTTGGCATTTTCAATATAAATAACTAAATCTTAATCACTTCCAAACACAATTTCATACTCAAATGTTAACGAAGTATTTGCAAAATAACCTAAACTTCATGGTTCCGTTGAAAAATGTTTAACTTTTACAATACTTTTTAAAATAAATAAAATTTTCTACGGGAACGTTTTCACTTTTTTCAGCCTTTTTTGGCACAAAAATTTGTATGAAGTTTGACTTTGAAGTTTCACTACAAAAACACCAGTCCACTTTTGACATTAATTTCAACGACAAATGATGTAGAATTTTATATACTTTAACCGTGTGCAAAAAATTTTAACGATACTTAAAATTTAATTTTTTAATTAATCCAAGGAAACAGGGTATTCTAACCCACTGTGCGTCTACGTAAATATACTGTGGAATGACAAATTTAACCCTTTTGTTCCCCGAATTTTTACCCTTGGCAATAGAACTATTTTCGGTGCGCAAATTTCATGTAACTATCCTAAGTAGGATATGATCAAAATTTGAAGTCGTTGCATCCATGCATTCGGGAAATGCAACTCAAGCCTTCCAAGTACCAAAAATGGAAACAGTGAAGAAGGTCTTTATCCATCGAGAACGCCTAGCATCATTCCGAAAAATAAAAGTCCAATATCAACAAAAGCAAATGCAATACGAAAAAATCACTTTTAATTATTCTTTAGTTTCTTTTTAAAAAGACTCAACAAAAAAAATTAGAGGGTACAATTCGTACATTTCGAATACGAAGCGTTTTAATTTGGGCTGTATACACAATTTGGTAATGTACATATTTTTGCACTTACTAGCAGCGTATTAAATATAAGCTCTAAAACATTTTGTTGACTGTGGGCAACATTGGGCCACAAAGGGTTAATATACACTCAATATTATTGGGGATCTACAAAAAAAAATACTTTATTGTTGAACAGTCAGAAAGAATAAGGGAACAATTGCCATTAAACATTTTTAGTGTATACTGCCGTTAAAACGCGAATGACTGTCTTATTGAC